GATTACGATGCACTACATAATAGATTCAGCTGTCAGGGTTACGGCTCGCCATATACACATAACACGCTGCGTCTCTTAATGCCATGCGTTTTCGGGTTCTGCTCCTAATGATTAATGGTGCTCTTGTAGAACGAATGGGACTGTTTACAGATGCGGACTTAATCCGATCACTGAACTTAAAAGCAAACTACGTCCAGGCAGTATCACTGGAGCAATTGTCCGAAAAATCTTAACTGGCAACCCCAACAAGTTCTGTAAGTGTCGTAGTGCGTGATTGTTCGAAACAAGTCACTATGTTCTTGTGGATATTCTGCCTAACACACCTAGTCGTAAAGTATTTTTACCTGATCACTTCGACACAGAGGGCTCTCCATCTTTGGTTTCTCGATCATGAGCTATTCATTCGTAAGCAATAGAGCAAACACATATGGCTTATTTACCGTTCTGAATCTCGTTGGCGAACTGACATGACTAAAGAGGGGAACGCTTGCAATAAACTCTTGCAGGTCTGCTTTGAATTGTTCGTTGGTAGACGCCGGAGCTTTCGAATCGTGAACAGTGAAGTCGCAGAAGATGGAACAATGGAACAATGGTATATGACGGGTAAAAAAGCATACACTTAACGAGTCCCGCAGGTTGGCAATAGAAATACTACCAAATTGGCAAACCACATAAGTGGTTGAAGTAAGGAGCGTCAATGAGATAAAAGGTAGAAGTATAACAGTTTTAGGGGGATAAAGTGGTACGACGCAAAACTGGCTAAGAAATTGTTATCGTTGGTGATGGTAGCGAATAAAAATGGAGTACTCACCGGTTCGCACAGATTTACGACCGTGAATTTGGGGTATAAATCCAAAGAGGCTGGTCAGCCTAAATATATACAAGCGTTTTCGTTCATAAAACAAAGCGCAGGGCGCTCATGGCTGTATCGTTGTCGAAGTTCCCTCCCAATACGAGTGTCAGGTGGGAGTCCATCACTGAGGTGGACATTGGGGGACAATAAACAACTGTCAAAAGGCAAGTGTCGTTGCGCTTAAGTCGCAGACTGCATCAGAGCGAGTCTCTGAGCAGCGTTCCCGGATCGTGCATTGGTTCGCAATGCAGGTCATTGCGGTAGTATAAAATTACCCCACCGCCATTACAGAGGCGATCATTTCGAATGAGGGACATGCCATGTATCGCGACTTCGAAGTCAGTGATTTTTGAATGCAGCCAGGTTTCCGTTATACATTTGAGGTCCCAGACGTGTGATGCATGACGTAACCGCAGTGCGGCAAGCTTGTGCATTAGTGTACATGCAGGAAACTTTCTCTGTTTTTAGCAATGAGTCATGGGATGTGCGTTTTGGGTCTCACGTTGTGTCGACCGCCGAAAGCTCGGTAACTAATCGTTTGGGGGGGGGGGGGTGACAACGAACTTAACTTTGTCATGTCCAGAGATCCCGCCATTACCTCTATGCTCCTCTCTTTATATGTACGGTATGTGGTGTGTTTGCCAATTTCATTGGCTAGCCGAGTGAAGTTATCCGAAATATTATCTGGAGGTGGTCCGACTAAGAGGCTACTTTCGTATGTTTGCTTCGGGGAAGCTGCTTTGATCCGGAGCTCGGAAGGAATGCTGCTACAGCCGACATACCAACTCTCTAACACTCTAGTTGACATTTGCCTGGATTATAGCACAACTTCCATAATCCTCGGGCCATTTGTCTTGTAACTTGGAGACATACGAAGCCTCGAGACAGACTGCGTTATGACATTTTCCAGGGACAGGGTCTGTCGAATTTATCGCCACTGCTTTTGGTTGTGGGTGGCTGCTTCGCGCTCATTATGAGCTCCAGCGTCGGGAACACAGTGTATAAGGTTGGTCCTAGCCACGGATTCCTTTCGGTGTTCTTCCAAGTCACGCTTCACTTGTTTGTGCTCACTCCACGGAATATCCTGGAAGATGCGGATTAAACACGACACATTCCGGAGGCGCAGTGTCGACAACAGGATAGCTTCTGCTTCACCAGCGGAAGTCAAGAAAACGAAGAGAATTCTTGGCTCACCGTAGGGCTGTGAGTTTGGGTGACGCGTAATCCGTGTCACTTTGAAGGACTTAACTATAACACCTAAGATATCATATATGGAATTCCACTGGTTCACATCATCGGGTTGTTTTCCTTTTAAGGAATTTGATCTTGACTCTGGAACGTTGGTGCAGATTATCGATAGCACACTATGTCTAGCTCAGATTGATGTTAGCCGCCCAGCTGGTCCGCGTACAACCGGTGGAGGCTGTGGAAGTACAACTACGCCTTCTTCATTTATTTTAGGCCCAGTGGGGGTAACCGAAGACCTAAGTTTCGGGTAGTTTTTGGCAGAAATCATGTGCCAATCACCAACAATGTGGATATCCTTCTGAAATTTTTGAACAGTACTTATTCCCATCGGAGTGGCGGTCGTTGTTTTAGGCGTATTTGGGCAGCTGGTGGCGTTTAATTATAAAGACAGGGGACGCATTTTTGATGTTCTGTCCAGCATTCTTCAGCTGTTTTGCAGCTCAGCCTAATGGAAAATTCTGGGGTTTGCTCACTGTCAAGCGTTTCTCAAACGAATCAACTTTGGCTTTCTTTATTTCTTCAGTGATTGCCAGCAGTCTTTCGTGCATAAGCTTTACCAGTGGAACAACCATACATACTTCACAGAACCATAGAGAATCCGGTTTACTATTATCAATGATCAATGAATTCAACGATCAATGATCAATGAATTTATACGGGTGAAGAAGCGTTGCTTTACAAGCCCCGTTGGATAGTTGGTGGGGATATCAACATAATAATTATGATGAAAAGGATAGTAAAATAGTTAACACTTTAAATACGAAAATAAGGACTTATCGTTTGCTTCGCTGCAGTCATGCGATCCACTTAGATTCACAACACCCACAGTTAACAACAAATAATTCCAGGGTAAAATCCAGGTGTAGGATGGAGACATAGTTTTAAGTAACAAAGTGTAAGTGGATGAGTGCATCGTCCAACCGTCTTTTAAATATTGTTAGTGTCGGTGCAGAGACGACCGATTCTGGGAGAGCATTCCACGGGTGACAGACACGGATGGAAAAGAAATTTCTGCGGCACTCCAGACGACTGTATTGTTCTGCGAGTTTTAATGAGTGGCCTCTCAGGTTTGTATTGCTGCTGAGTTGCAGTAAAGGGCGGCACACATGATGTGGGTCTCGCAGAATCAAGTATGTTATAATCAGGTCACCTCGTAGCCTGCGATAGCTTCCACTGAACAATCCTAGTCGTCGCAGCCTCTCCTGGTAGGACAGATTGCGCATTCCAGTTACGTTCTTAGACGCCCGGCGTTGAGGCTGTTCCAGTGCATTAAGGTCGTGTTTCAGCCATGGATGCCAGGCTTGAATTGTGTATTTGACATGGGGGCGAACATACGCACTGAGCATTTGTCGAAATATGGAGCTGTTTATTTGTCCAAACGCCCGCCTCAACAACCCAACGTGTTGATTCCCGGTCTTCGAGGCCTTTTCGGATTGCCTGGAGCAACCCAAGTCATCTTGAACCAGGACACCCAAGTCACGTTCGAGAGTTGATTGTTGCAGTACATCCGTTCCGAGTCGGTATGAGTAGGTGCCGTGATGTCGGATGGAAAGCACCTTGCATTTACTGACGTTGAAATGCAATGAGTTTGGATCAACCATTGATACACTGTATCTAAGTCACGCTGAAGCACAGGTTGGTCGGCGTTCGCCTGGATCCTGTGCCAGATCTTGATATCGTCGGCAAATATTAGGAAGTTTGAAGCGATTCCCTGTGCATGGTCATCAATAAACACCAGAAACAAACGTGGACCTAGAACCGAGCCTTGCGGCACACCACACTCGACTTGTATGGGGTCCGATAAAGAGCTCCGAACTCTGACCACTAATTGCCTTTGGAATAGAAAGTTGGCGATCCAGCTTAAAAGAGGGTCTCCGATCAATTGGCTTACTGCGAACTTTTCACATTTAGAATGAAACTTGTTTCGGCGGTTTCCACACCGAATTCCGGTTCGTACATTCTTATGTCATGAAGGAAAGCCACATACATACTACCGTCAGCCTTGGGGCAACTGTCTACTGGCCGTTAAAACCACTGCGTCGATCGATGTCTATCTGCCGCTGTATTCTCAAGGTCAACACGTTCGGTGCGTCCACGGCCGGCAGACTAGGATTAAGCGAATTGATGGTTTGCTCGTTAACCTCTGAGATGTAAATAAAGCGAGCAGGCGATGGGGACACAAAATTCCGGATAGCTAATTCGCTTAGCGGTCTGCAGCTGTGGTTGAAGGCTCGTCGTCGTCTGAGTTAGCTTTCGTTTGAGACTACAAGTATTGCTTAGTGGTCTGTGGCTCGGAACATTCCCCGATTCCGTTTCCGGGGGAACAGTGCAAAAACCACGATGCTGAAATTAAAGATGATCAACCCAAGTTAGATCCGAGAGATGGAATGCACTAAGTAGCGCTGATGAAGCTAGATCAAATGAGTGTAAGCATACGTGTGTGTGATGGGAGGTGTTTCAGTAAATCCGATTAGAATACGAGACCGGAATTTTTACGTCCGCGTGGTGATCTGACAACAGGGTAGATGATTACCTATACCTGCCATAAGACAAACAACTGGTTTTGTGATCTCCGTTTTTTGTCCCCATAACTTCCTTTGTATATCTTCTCGTGACCTGTCCATTGTAACTAAGGCTAAAGCAAGGCTATTTGTTAACCGAGAGAATCAGTTGCAAGGGAATCAGAGCGCCAGAAACATCGTGCGTTATTATACTTCAGTTTGTATATTGCCAAAGATAAATTCCATCTGTTCCTTGAAATGTGGAATATCCACAACCTACATATAACTCTTGTAACCAGTACGGAGAAACTCAATCCGCATAAAACGCAAACATTGCAGTCGAAGACATAATTCATATACATCTACATTGTGACGGTTGTTTATGTGTTCTTTTTCAGCTTTCCCAAATGCCAGTTTCGGTTTAAACTCCCTCGCTTCCCATATACCCGGTCTACACACAGATCCGATATCTCACTTTTACTCCAGTGTTCCAACCTACGGATTGGGTGAGTTGCTTTTGTCGACTAAGAAGTGGTACGCAATTACAGTTTTGCAAAGTGATCCACACAAAAACATCCCTTCGTGCTACACAGTATCTTGTGAGTGGTACAGTTCTAGTATGCCTGGGCTAAGGTTGCACGTTTGCCACGATTGCAGCAAAATCCAGTGGCTCACTAATATAAAGCAATGCCATCTTGAAATCCAGTTGGTTACATAGGTTCCCAACAGTATATCGAGGGCAACTTATCCAAAACTACTGCCAGTACTACCCAACCAGTGATAAATGCAATGCAAATTTTTCCCTTAGAAAGAGCTGAGACGCATATATTAATCCAGCTATGGGCTTCCATCGTGCCTAGCAACAGATAGCATATTATCCCTGCAGAAATTTTTAAAAAGGAACTTCTAACTCAAAAGAAATACTCATCGGTTACATCTTAATCAAAGCAGGTCAGTTTTCTAAAATATCCCGCTTACACTTGCTTGGAACGCTATTGAAACTATCCTTACCATTTAAGAGTATAATAATAATATGCAACAAATACATTGTCATCATTGTTCTTGTTAGTCAAGTGAGTACTTTGATCGCATAACCTTTGAACTCGGCGGTGATCGGATCCAACCATATTTTGTTATTCTACAACCTCAAGCCTACCCATCCGCTGCCGCGCAACAGCCTACCCTCAATCCCTACGCCACACTGGCCCAACACGCCCTAAGCATGCCGGTTCAGCAGAAGGAAGGCACGAAGGATTTGATACTGACGGGTAATTTCAGCTGTTTGGTTGAAATCGTTTCCTATGCATTAGCTGTAGCTGGTAACGCCAATATTGTAATGATGACAAATTCGCCCGTAGGTGCATCAGTTTCAAGCAGCTACAGAGAAATGCTCCGTTCCCTCGCATTGGGTTACAAGTGAATTTTATGAGCCAAACCAATAGGCCTGTTACGATTCATAACTTATAATCATTTTGGTTCAATTAGTATGAGTTGCACATCTGTTATCCGCCACCTGCAGTACAAACGAATTCAGCATGCCTATTAAATCAGCGAAAAACCGGAAGGTCTCATCAGTGCACTGCTTGTATTACATGTGGACTGCTCGCATCAGGGCTTCACACGACTCGACGTAAACTGACGTCGATTGCGGTTACAATGGTTAAGTGATCAATACTTGTTCACCGATCAACTCACAGCGCATTAGTACGGTGCGGTTATATGGCTGTGACATCCACATATCACATGTAAACTGAGTGTGCTAAATCGGTAGTACAAGGATACTGGAACAACACATTGCGAACACACCGTAAGGTCAGTGAAGCCGTTCACAGAAGATATTGTTGTAAGCAATCTCGATTTTGGGAAGGTTGTTTAGGCCAACCACAGCATTCTACTCTACAGTCGCACGGCCTGGTTCGCACTGTTAGAGAAAGCAGTTGAGTGGATTCAACACCTTGGAACTCCTGCAAGTAAGCACAGTGCCGCCACACCAAGAGAGCATACATACGACCTTGGTTTGAAAAGACTAAAATGACAAATCCAACATAATATGTTTCTTACCCAGTTTTGTATTGCACAGTTCCGCAGCTTTTATCCAGAATAATTTCACAGTAACTTATTTCCAATAGGCCATTGCCACACCTGATTGCAATTGTGTTCCCCTTGTTTTCAAAGCAGGCCTCCTTCCCGGCGATTCACGGTAAATCGATGTTTTGCAAATCAGACGGCGGACAAACTAAACACTTAAACTGTTCACTGTTTTCCGTATAGTTGTCTCGTTACTTTGTTGACTCAAAGTGTTGCCTCGATATTTTGGTAGTGGTCAGTCAGTGTGGTGCTTTACGCAATATGTTAACCTGTCAGTGTGTGTTTGGTTGGATATCAGTCTCTGTGCTGTTTCGATGTAGTCAATCAGGTGATTGGTTGATTGGTCGATTGGCGTCGTGCAAACTTCGTAATAATCGTCGTTGTTGAGCTATCGTAGCTCGACGAGTCAGTCACTGGGAGCGACCTAAGCCTTTCGGTCCTTCCAAGTGCCGTATATGACGATCTGTTGCTTGGTGGTTACCATGGTAAGTTGTCTGTCTTTTTCTGGATAGGGGCATGATATAAAGAGAGCAATTGAAACGAGCAGTTCAGTACTTGGTCTACTTTGCAGCCACCTCAGATGGAATCAATTTTCCTCCACCGCGAAATGATTAATCCCAAAGTTTCCTCTCGTATTGCGTGAAATGATTCAGAATACGAGTACTCAATCAGAAACAGTCATGCAACAATTGTCAATCCACCACTAACACAAGTGCAGGATAGATGAAAATGCACACTTTGGAGGTTGCATTCGAGGTTCCGGTGGTGATCAGAGGGGCTAGCCGTGTCTCTCTGGATTAATCCATGACCAAGTGATATTCTAGATGTTACTAAAATTAGTGAACGCTGATCCAACTAGCAGTAAGCTGCGTTAGCTAGGAGACTGTTGCATATGTCACCGTGCCACACCACTTTCTTCCTCCTAAAACACGCGCAAGTGTCGTAATTTACATGAGTTCCATGATTTGGTGAATTTTAACCGCTTGGATGTTAACAGACTCACTATTTCAGTGGCGCGGTCAAGGACAGCCATTTTTCTCCATACGACTTCTTACGCTACCATCCCAGCAATCGGGTTTACGCCATACAGACTTGGAGATAGACCCAATGATGTCCTCAATTGTTTCCAGTCAGCGGTGTACTTCCGTATTGGCTTTCCAGCCCCGAAGACCAACGAGACTGACGACAGCTAAACTGGGAGTGAACGCTTTGACATGCTGCGCGTTGCGATAGGCTGACCACACCACAAATCTTTCCAGTGCGTCCCTGCGTGCCGTGCTAGTCGCTCGCAATGAATGCGTAGGACTTGACTCAGCCAACTCAGTTGGCGCGGCAGCACTACCCTGTCAACAGGGAGGCCCATATTACCTAAGACGCGATGTCCAAAATGGTCGTTGTAAATGCGGTGTTCCCAGTACACACAAGCTATCCTCCACAGACAACCATTGTCATTTACATGAATAGGTCAGAACTCACTTTAAATACAACGTGAACATAGGACGTGTAGATCCTGTCTTTTGCCGATAGTAAAACTTCACGACGACGTCACAGCCGCCTCATTAGTGAAAACTGCTCGAGCTTGGGCAATACGAAGAGAAGTCTCTCTTCCAATGACGTCATCAGCAGAAATGCAGCTCCCCAGGCAAACAAGCCATCCACTTGTTCAAACTACGTTCCTCCAAGAATCAGCACTGGGTAATATGGATACAAATCCTGGAGTAGGTGCTTGTATTTCGATGGAGCGAATGTCCTGTCACACTTGATAGCTTCAGTCAGCAAGCGGTTTAGAATGACATGCATGATCTGTGGGTCGTCACCAAATAAAGCAATACCATCAGCATGGCTCAAATCACTCGCGTCGTTTTCCGGAAGGTCTAGACCAGAACTATGGAGAACGTACAGACCACTTAATAAGACATCCACAATCTCAAAGTTGAAGAGAAACGGGGATATGGTGCCTCCATGCCGCACACCGCTAGTGACGACGAACGGTGAAGATGGCGTATCGTAAGCCTTCATTATGCCCGAGACATCGCTGTGTACTGTTTAAAGGAGGACAGTATCCGTTTCGAGTATCCCATTCTTGTGCAGTAACGCAGTAAAGCAGGCCAATCAACCGAGTTGAAAGCAGCTCGGATGTTCAAAAAGACGGCAATAATAAGCTGGCGGTAAAGGTGACGCTGCTCGAGGTGTTGACGGAGCGTTAACCTGTGGTCTACAAACCCTCGACCGGGGAGGAAACCAGCCTATTCTTCACGGCAGTGTAGTTCTCTAATCGGTGTTAGTCTGTTGAGTAGAATGGATGTTAAAAGTTAGGAGGCGGCGGATATTTAACTGATTACGCTATGGTTGTTGTATAATATACGGGCAACCTTTTCCAAGATCCGGACGATAATTGACTCGCCCCAGGAGGATGGAACTAGTTGACAACCGCCTCGCTACCGTACTTGAACAGCACCAGAGGAGGTGTGTCTCAGTCAGCAGCCTTTAATCACTTCAAGTAACGAAGCTCAAGGTGGACCTGCACTTCGGTGGGTGGTTCCAGCTAAAAATTGCGAGGTGCGCAATTAATCAAACTTAGTAAACAGGCGGAAGGAGCTCACATGAAATGGGCTCAACTCAGCGGCCTATGCGCCAATGCAAATTAGTGACTGATGATCCACCAACTTTGCAAATAGCCTAACTGACGCCAGGTCTTCTGTAGCTGAATGATCTGGAAAAACTTGAGAAAGTTTACAAAGAGAGCTGCTGTCTCCCTCACTGAAGTGTGCTGAGACCATCAAGTTTCACCATCTTTAAGTGAGCTTCTCTTGAGTTTCTGCCTGCGGTTGCGGCGGACTTTACCGTTGCTTAAATCATCTGAAGTAGCTCGACGAGGATCAAGCAATTCCAGAGAGCGAGCGGAGAGCCAGTCTCTCAAACAACACTGAGTGACTTCACAGAATAAGTGATCGCAAGACAGTATGGTGTATTGCAAGAAATTCCAACGATGTTCGACGTTTTGAGGTGAAGCACTAGGGAATGTATATCTAAGGAAGATTGATAAGCCAGTTGAATAGATTGATCAACTAGCCTGTTTGCAACGAGCGTAAGGTGCTCTGGTTTCGAGGAATTCCCGAAGCACACACAGATCGCTGCACAGGCGACTAAGTTGATCTACAATCCCTTAAACGGGTCTGCCATCTGAAGATGGTTGCTATGTGATCAATTGGTGAACATGCTTGCGTCAGCGAAGACGAGCTTCAGATGATGGTGCGTCTCCACGAATGTCTGAAGTTTGTGCCTGAGAGAGGGAGACGGTTGTCCTCACATAATTTGTGTAGTCCATATCTGTTTCAGAGTGACCATACTCAGAGGCATTAGGACCACCAAGATGACGTTCGCATGGCAGCAGGCAACCGACTCGTGCACGGATTCTCCAGTAAGGACGATGACACTTAGTGGAGTCGGCTATAAAAGTAATCCTTAGCCGCTCCACAACTGCAGTCTGTCGGGACGTATGCAGAGATCACAAATAAATTGCATTGCTTTCCACAATGTCTGTTGAACCTCCATGAAACTTCGAGCGGAACTGCATACAATCGGCTGTCAACTGGACATCAATGGAGTAGCGCAGCGTCAGCTTTGTCGCTTAATAAGATGCTAGTACCAACTAAACCAACTGCGACTGCTTCTGTCACCAAACAGGCGCAGAAAATACTTGGCTCCGTGATCCGCGGCAGACGACACGTTAATCACGGTGCTGGACTCCTATAATTGAGTGTAGGACAGGCTATAAATATGGATAAAGGGACGTTCGAAGGTGCGCGCTAGGCTATTTTACTGTCAGATCTGCAAGAGAATTCAAACGTTGAAGGCTGCCAGCCGTAATAAAAATCAGGGTCGAAAGAGGGCCATTGGTCGGACCCTTTGAGCATCAGCAGACTGGTATCGGAAGTTTGTTCAAAAGAAGGATAATTATTAATGAAGGTGCGTAAGCGGTGAAGACAGGAACAGAAAAGAACGACTTAGCAGTATTTGTGGAATGCAGGGTTTTGTCAGACAGAGAGATACTATCCGGTTTTCCAAACTGGAGTGGGATTGTATTAAAGGACACCACTATCCTTAGCTGAATAGCCTGCCCCCCAAGACAGCGGAGCCAAGTAGGGGAATCCCACCCATCAGGAGCCGGTGACCGACTACTCAGCTCATACACCTTTCGTTTGGTCGTTTGCCAAGCAGCGGCCCAATCCTGCCCATAAAGTGAGGCTGTTATACTACAACGCTCCACCGAGACGAAGCAAGGGGCAGTGACTTTAGTCAGTGGCCAGTCACATCCGCCACACCACCGTG